AATTAAAGAATCAAATTTTGTTATTGTGCTTAAAGCAAAATGATCAATATAACAAAATTAATATATAACTTCTAATACAAATTTGTAACAATTTTGAAAATGACAACTTTTCTAAAATGGCAAACTTTCTTACTAACTTTTGAATTCTACTTACTATAAGGAAAGTCAGTTATAAATTAAAACCAATTCTTTATACATTCATCACTTAAAAAGCTTCCATGTCTTCATTATTTCAACACAGTTAAGTTGGTTGCAGTTTTTAAAAACCTAAAATAATAAATAAGTTAATCAAGATATTAGGTTTGTAATTACGGTTAGATCAATGAATCGTTAATCAAATCATGTTCATGTAACTTTATTTTCGAGCTCGGTCATCTTGAAGCTCATTAGGGTGTTGACCCAAAAATCCAATTAGTACAAAAAGAAAAGAATATTTTATGAGTGTTTTTTCCAATAATTTTTTGGATATTTTGATATTTTATTTAGCAATAAACATAAACATTAAGTTCTTAACAACTCCACCTAACTTTCTAAAAAGAAACTTTCTAACTAACTTTTGAATTCTACTTATTATAAAAGGAAAGTCATTTATAAGTTAAAATCAATTTTTTATCCATTCATCGCTAAGAAGCTTTCATGTCTTCATTATTTCAATACATTTAAGGTAGTTGTAGTTTTTAAAAAACTTAAAGCGGTGAATAAATTAATCAAAACATTAGGTATGTAAATTACAGTCAGACCAATAAATTATTAATCAATTTATATTTTTATTTTTATAGAATCTTTATTTTTGAACTCGGTCATCTCAAAACTCGTTAGAGTGTAGACCTTACAATTCAATTAGTAAAAGGAAAATACTATTTCATGAGTGTTTTTTCTCTCTTTAGTTTATGAATATTTTGATATATTATTTAGCAATGAACTTAACCATTAAGTTCTAAACAACTCCACCTAACCTTTCTCATAAAACAAAAATAATACCAAATATTAAAAATATATCATCGATCAAAACAAGTAAACGACCAAGTATATCCGTCTACTTTTTAATTCACAACACTCCAATCTTAATTATAATAATTTTTGTCGTTCTTTTTTAACCATAAACTTGTAATCAAATGATAAGACTAATCAACAACACATAATACATCTCAATTGATTTTTAGATATGAAATAATTCATAATATTCCAAGTAACATTCTATATTATTAATTGACACAAGGATTAGGCAAGAAATTATGTCACACGTACGGTCACACCCACTAGCAATCCATTACATCAACTTCCTTTGTTTGTATTAAAAAATTCTATACATCTCATAAGATGCTCAGTCCATTTATAATACTCTTTACAAAGTTAATTAATTTGCTTACATAGAACTAATTAATTTGCAACTTAATAAATTAATAACCGATCCTAAGAATACAAATAACTTATACAAAATGTAATTGAGAATCATATTCTAGTGGTGAAAAAAATCATCCTATCTTGGATTAATGGTGCAAAACTAAAGATATATGCTCTTTCTAAGTTTAAGGGTTCAATTGGACCCCTCAATCAATCTAACTCTGTCCTTTTTGGTGGACAATCTAGTATCATATAATTATTTACGTCATTTCATTTTTTGTATTAATTCATCGTAGATAATATTTTTAAATAAGGTTTATCTATAAATATTGGTATTTAATAAACTTTAAAATATTGTCAAATTTAATTAAATTGTTAGGTCTTTGATATGCTCTAAGTCTTATGGACCTACCGGCTAAATGGTCTAACAAGAATGATTTAAAGTCCAATGTAGAATATCTTCGTAGAAAAGTAATAAATATATAGATCTATGTTAGGAGATTTTACACAAATTTAGATCATTTGCCTATCATTAGCCATTGGATTCAATTTAATGATATCCTGCATTTTCTGTTATGGCAATATGGAGTATTTTTACCCATCCGTCACATATAAGTTTGACTACGTGTCATATAAGATATGCTTTCATTCATTATTATAAGTTACACATCTCTAATCTCACTAACTTAGGCGTTTAATTAGTACACACTCACACTTTGTCGTATCGGAGACCTGCATCACAATATTTGAATAACTTCATATCTACATGTCATTAATCTTCTGTTCTACATCAAAATAGCAGCTCCATTTGTGACAATTATCTTCTAGTTCTCACGATTTTTCACGTGGGATTCATCATATCTGTTTGTTGTGCCATTACACCTGCTTTATCAATCTAATTTCATATAACTCTCTTAAGCAATAATGGTATCTTCCAAGTCAGTCGAATAGTCGCTCATTGCAATGTCAATCTGATAGTTGAATCCTCTATGTCGATCCCTTCCCCTACGCAAGAAGTTCCATATCTTCTCGTAAGGGGAGTCGATCTAGTCATAGTAACTTCTTAGTTAAATACCATTTTGATCCCTCAACTTTTCAAAACATATCACAATAGTCTTTTCCGTCTAAATGGAAGTAACGTCGTTAATATTTGATGACATGTAACATACAATTTTTTGTGACTGGTTTAGCGACGAAAAAATTAGTCACTAAACGATGTTTTCTGGGTTTTTACTACCTTTTTCATCAAACTTGCAAAATCTATAATTTTCAATTCCATAAAAACCAAACATCCATATAAATCAATAAAATCATATTGTCTGAGAGATGAGATCTGATTCTAATGTATGATATTTGATTCTACTACTTTCTTTTATGAATTATTTTAATTTGTACTTTCATATTATCAGGCCATTCACCGTGCTCATTGGGTTCTCTAGACCAGTTCATGAAATTTTACAATTTCATTAGTTAGTCCTTTGATTCAATTCCAAATTTCTAACTACATTTTTTTTATTGTCTTTCATGTTCATCAAGGGGTGAAGTATGAACAATTTTTTTTTAATTTTTATTCATATTTTCAACAATATAAGTATGATTACAACATTTTTAAGGACATCTTGTGTTGCAAAGCTCTTGCTATTTTATAAGGAACATACATCGTGTATGCTGTAATAGACAAAACATTCTTGTATTGGCAAATGATACTCATTTGATGATCCAAATCTATAACCCCCGAGTTACATGGTATAAGTCATGTGACATTCAACGCTAGTGCCACGTAGACTTAGAAATTGACTTTGATTAATAAAATGAATGGAAAGGACTAACATGATCCAGTTTGCAGAGTTAAAGGATCAAAAATGATATTTAGTCTAACTTCTTCGAAGATAGGGGATGAAAATGGTATTTAGCCTAACTTCTTCGACTATTTCATCTCCTCAATCTTTCTCCAGTTCCTCAACCTTTCGGCCGAAATACTTTCTAGTTTCTATCATCCTTTCTACCATTTCAGCAGCTGCTTTAAGGCCAAACTTCTAAGCAACCTAAATTGCAAGTTCGAGCTTACGAACCCAAAAAGGTGCAAAGCCTTCAACAACTTCAAACCACATTTTGAATGCAAGGAGTGAATCTCATCATTGGCATTTACAATTTGGTGCAACATCTGAATACGCACGTTTTGGCCGAAAGGTTCATATAAGTAGGAAAAAAATCAGTAAATAACTCCTTTGCGAGGTAGTAGAACATGATAACCTTGGATCCATGTCCTAAGCAATTCTCACTCGCATCACCAAAGGGTTTCTTAGATCACCAAAATGTTGCCATCCCGGGCTCACCAACCTCTCCACGTGGTTTTAGAGGCGTAGACGATAATCACACACCTCTCCAAGATCGCCACCCCAAGAGATCTTTATCTCATCATTCTTAGAAAAGATACATATAAGTCGTCAAAGATCATACCCCCTCTCACCGCTTAAACTTTCTCAAAACACAATATGGACAATATGATTTAGAAGTCTCTTGAAAAACCTCCAAAGTTAGATAATTGTGATGGAAACAAAGATCTATGCAAATATATTGAACACGTAGATACCATGTTTGACTATCACCATACTAAGAGTATGGTGAAATGCAAATTATTTATCATAACCCTTAAAGGAGCTGCCACGACGTGGTTTTAAAACCCTACGTGAACGTTTCATCAATCCTGAAAGAAGCTCTATAGTGATTTTACTACTCAATTCATTACTTGAAAGCGGTAACTGACTGCTACCTTAGTCGTCCTTAGTTGTATCCATCAAAAAAAGAATGAGACCAAGTATGAGTATATCGACCGATTAACAAAAGTGGCATGAGAGGTAGGTGAATCGAATGACGAGCTAAAATACTGGATGAATCGAATGACAGACTAAAATATTAATTCTTTTTTAAAGAATTAAGGTCAGATTGCACATTCCTTGAAAAATTAAAACTAAAAAGTGCTGAAAGCATTAATGACCTTTTCACTAATACCTAACCATATATCAACTATGAAGAAAAATTGTTGGCGGAATAGGTAAAAAGAATCAAAGAATCAATAAATTTATCAAATAATTTGTCTTGAAAATGAAACAAATAACGATACTTAAATGACCTAGAAAAATAAAAACCTTACCGACTAATTAAATCACCTATGAATATACTCCATATAGAGATCAATTATATAAAGTATTCAATTAATGGTGATTCAATTAAGTTGAATTAGTAGACCTTTTAATTAATTTTCTTAATAACTATATAATCTTTTTTCTTCTATGTATTAGAAAAACTATAAATTAGTCAAGTCATGTAATATAGAATTACCAAAGTACCCTTCTCTTTCTAGTATTAAAGAAAGCCTCTATAGGGAGCTTAAGGGAAAGAAAAAAACCGGTCAACTGTCCTCAATATTAAACCGCCACCTCTCAACTTTAGTTTGGCCCTCTGCTTCTATGTGAAACATATACTTAGTGGGTCCAAAAAACCAAACACACCATCATCAAACACAACACCACCAACAACAAAAGAAAGACAGAATAAAGAAACACAAAAAATCAATTAAAAAACATTTACTCAAACAAGAAACAATAGAAAGCTCCACAATACATGTCAATGTCTAAGAAAAAACCCAAATCTCAATGGCAAAACTGATTAAACAAACAACAAAAAAGATGACACAACTCTGCCGGAAAATCGTTCAGGTCGACGTTCGTTGCGGCGTTCTTCAAAGGGTATCTTTTGTTGGTCACTTTTTTCGATTCATATGGAACAAACTCATGGTTTGTTCTCTTGGAAGTTCATCACCTCAATACACAAGATTACCTCTCCGTGGTTCTTCTTCCTCGCCGCCGTCTCCGGCCACCGTCGACGACGCTTTCTCTCACGAACAACAGCATATCTCAAATGGGTATGAGTCGGATTCTGACTTGGTTAACCTCAAGATTAGTTTGTTGGGGGATTGTCATATTGGAAAAACCACTTTTTTGGTAAGCAATGTTTTTATCTTTATCTTCAATGTTGAAATGGGTCATGCAAAGATTTTCTTTTAAATTTTAATTTTTTTTTTCAGATCAAGTATGTAGGAAATGAAGTAGAAAAGAGAAGTTTACAAATGGAAGGATTGAATTTGATGGATAAAACTTTATATGTTCAAGGAGCTAGAATTTCATTTTGTATATGGGATGTTGCAGGTAATTTTTTTCCACTTTTTTTGTTATATATTTTAATTTTCTGTTTTTATTATTAATTTAATGGAAAATTATTATGTAGGTGATAAAAAGTCCTTGGATCAAATTCCAATGGCTTGTAAAGATGCAGTTGCTGTTTTGATTATGTTTGATCTCACTAGTCGTTGTACACTAAACAGGTTAGGTTCTGAAATATTAAGAATATATTTTTTTATCCTAAGTTTTATAGGAATTTATTAGTATTTCAGTTTTGAAATGTTGTATGTTTTTATTTTTTGCAGTGTTGTTGGATGGTACAGTGAAGCAAGAAAATGGAATCAGGTACCAATTGATAATTTTGCTTGTTCAATAATCAATAGTACTAGTACTTAAAGTTAAAGTGTAGTTTCAAATTTATAATGCTTTTGAGTTTCACACTAAAAATTTTTGGACTAAGAAAAAAAAACTTTGGTTATAATATACCAAGTGACATTAATTTTTTACTTTTTTTAGTAGCATGTGGAAGAGATAAGAAGTGATTATTTTTTAAGTTGATGTGCTGATTTAATTTGTTAGATGTCATGATAATTAATGTGGTTTATTTTTGGTGGAATTTGTGGTGACCATTTTGCATTATATTCAATTGCAGAGTGCAATACCTATTTTAATAGGAACTAAGTTTGATGATTTTGTTAGACTTCCCCCAGATTTACAATGGACAATTGTGACACAGGTAATTGAATTATTAACTTAATGCATTTTAAATTGGTTTATTTTTCTCTTATTTTTTGATAGAGCAAAACTTAAGAGTCATCTTAAAGTTTAGGGTTTTGGAGGTCTTATATAGAAGAATTTCAATTTAGGCACTATTTACTAGTCAAAAACAATGTATAAGATTCTATTTAGCGACAATTTAACCCTAATTAATTAGGAGTGGTATTCAGTGTTATTCAGGCGTGTCTGTTTTGCAAAAAATCCTTCACAAAAATGGGGCGAGGCATGGAATACATGGTCCATAATGCAAGCTTAAAATTTTGTCATGTCTACGAAAAAATGAGGACGGAGCAGAGTGGACATAATAAAGAGTGCTAGCAAAAAGGTCTTGTCCGTCCGAAAAAAAAAAGGGCAAAACGGGTATTTCAATCGACCGACTCCATTTTACCACCTAAGGATAAACGTGTACTATTTAAACTCTAAAATTTTGAATCATGTACCATTCATGTTAGAATAAAGTTAGAGTGATGTTCACACTTCATTATTACTTTTCCAACCATTTAGGGTACAAATTCCCATTCAATAATGCTTTGAATAAAGTGTTTACTTTATACCCACCATATTCTTAGGCTTTATTTCTAAATTTATATTGTACAAATTGACACAGGCAAGGGCATATGCAAGGGCAATGAAGGCAACCCTATTTTTCTCAAGTGCAACACACAATATAAACGTCAACAAAATCTTCAAGTTTATCATGGCAAAGCTCTTTAACTTGCCTTGGACGATAGAAAGAAATTTGAAAGTTGGAGAACCCATTATTGACTTCTAAATTGTTCTTTTGTATGTATATATAAAAATAAGAGAGGAAAATGAGAAGAAGAAACAAAATTGGAAAAAGAGAAAGAAAGAAAACTAGTCTTCTTTTTCGTATTAACTTGGATCAATCAATATTTAGAACCTAGCTAGGAAGGTAGTCACTACCTAATTTACGTGTATTTTTTGTAGGACAAGTTTGATTCCTCTAAGCTACTACATAAATGTGTTTATAACGTGACATTATCCTATGAGGAAGAGAAGAGAAAAAGAGTAGATTTTTAGTCCATTTTACTAGTAGTATATTTTGGCAGTTTCTTATTGCACATTATATATTATATATTTCTAGCGTAATGTGTAAAATTTCACTAATGTTTTGAGGTTTCGGAAATATATTTTCGAATGCATCTTTTGTACATTCAACAAAGATAATTTTAAGAGACGATTTATATGTTGGATTTAATATATTTTAGAGATATATCTTCGGAAAAAGTCTATTGTTACATTTTTGAAAATACATCAGAAATACATTACACATTTAAAGAACTTTTTAAAATGCAATTGATATTCATAACATAAAATGATCATTATAATGATTATTTCAATAGAAAATTAAATATTACATTTCAATATTCTAGTGGACGCTTGCACATTTTCTGGATATCTTTGACTAATCTTTGTAGCGTCACTTCCAACTCAAGCAGAACTTTCTCTTCGAAACCGAAATATGTATCCCACATAGCCCTAACATCCGCTCGAGTCTTGAGCTCAAATTTGCTGAACACGATGTTCCATTCGTTGTTAACCGAAGGTGAACGGTACTCGAACTTCACAATCCTTCGTTTGTCTCCGTAAGGTAGGAGATAATGGACTTCGTCTACGATATCTTCGAGGGGGTGAGATCGGTGAGTTTAAATAATCGGCCGAGTTTAGAGCCGTTGGAGTATGAGATGTTTACGACATACCATCTGATGTTTATGTGTGACGTTGAGACATATTAAGTTTGTGTGAAATATAACACAAGAACACCTAAATTTATAGAAGACCTAATTCTATATTGACCACTCATTGACTGTCATATTGATTTTGGATATATATCTCTGGAACCGCACCCTATTATCTTGTTCTGAAGATGCATCTCCGAAACTTTCTCTGAACCATTTCAAAAACAAACCATATAACAGAACCTTCCGGAGATGTATCTCCAGAACTTTCCCTGAACCATTTCCAAAACAGAACCATATAACAAACTCTGACATTAAGATGAAATATGAACCAAATATGTATAAAGACCAAACATGAATAAAAAATGAATATGTAACACTTTATTTATATTGAGATATAAATATATACAATTATTTGTCCGATTAAACAAGAAATGAAAACGAATCGAAACAAGTGTCGCCGGTTAAACCTATAGGTGGTACCTCTTTGGACTTTTGTGCATTCAATTCTTTTTCAATGTTGTTCAATCTCTCGAATTTTTGCATCATTTCCATGAAATGATCCAACTACGTCTCGGCTTCTGCAGTTGAATGAGTTGTCCACTTTAGTGATGTAAGTGGTATGAGGTAACCCGGTTTCAAGTAAACTTGAACAAATTGACTTGATTTTGAAAGTCATCTAATATACATGATACAATCATTTGGATTTTGGTGTGGTACAGTGCGCAGTGGGAAAAAGATTTCTGAAAAACTGTAGCGTGTCAAGTCAATGCACACCCTATCATATGCACATGAAATTAGGTGACCCATATCCGCTAAGCTCATCCATTTTGACTCCAGTGTCAGAATGCTTAAACAAGAAACTCATAAAACGCATCAAACTTTTCTTTATTTTCATACAACCCCGTGTACGATTCTTTATGCGTCTTCAACTCTTAGATAAGTTGATGTTGGACAAGCGCATGACTATCTTCTCCTTTACCGAGTAAAACTGAAATGGCTCGGTAACCACAATCATCGTCCCCTGTAACATCGTCGATCCGCTTGATATATTTTTGCATAAAAATCGGTATCTCATTGATGAATGGAATCTTCGGTGAAAGCGGCGTCGGAGGTGGTTTGTTAATGCGGGCTCATTTCACAACACTTTTTAGAGATTTTGGAGTCGGTGAGTCTGAAAATACTTTGTCAACGTGTTCAAAATATGAAGGAGACCGTGTAGTCAAGTTTTCATTCGGTGTAGGCTTCATTTTCTTTGGAGCACCTTTTATTTTTATTGGTTGAAAAGGCAGTTTTCTGTCGGTGGTTTCAAGATAAGTAATCTTTCTCAATTGCTCTTTAATGTGGAGTTTCACGATGTCACCGACCTTCAAAATTCTCTCTTGTATCGCTTCCCATTCAGAAAAAATAGAGATATTTGATTTCTTGTCATCCATGCATCCATCATCATCGAACCTAAGTCTCTTTCAAAGAGAGAAAACCTCATCCATTCTTATTGGTTCACCAAGTTCATCTTTTTAGCAAGATTGCAAGCACACAGGAGACCATATGTTTTCACAATAGTGCAACCACATTTTGCGCTATCGGAGCCTACATTATCAACTTGTTTAGCCTCGTGAAAAATATGGTTCAAACCCACCCGAGAAATGTTACCGACCAACTAAGAATATAAAGTGTTGTCTTTAAATCGTTGTTCCAAAACTGTGATGCTCCGACCAAATGTTGTTTGTATCTCATTATGCTGGTTCTGAATCATGTGGTTCACAGAGTCCCAATCTTGACACAAATCCTCTTTTCTATTTCCTAACCAATTTTTCAAAGTAGCATGGGCTGATGCAACTCAGTTAGTAGTTGTATTTTCAAGGTGCCTGACATTATCAGTCCACACGCAAACTATCTTCTTCTTCACCTGATCAAGAATGGTGTTTTCAACAAAGCATGATACTCTTCACACATTTTTCGGAAATGAATAACGGAATCGACATATAGTTCTTTTGTGGAAGAATTTATGATACGATTCCATGAATCCATTATTTTTTCCATTATCATACCCTCCTTCACCAATTTTCCACCTCCAGACTCTATTGGTTTCGTCCGTACCACGGGTTTTACCCGACTTCTCACATTCTTTGTTATGTGATACTTACAAAGTAATGCATAAGAAGAAGGAAATACCTTAGACTGAGTTCATCAATGTGGTATTATGGTCGGTAACGATCGTTTTAGGCATCTCACTTTGATCCTTCAAAAGTGATTGACACACCTCTAATGCCCAAGTAATATTATTCTATTTTTACACTTAAGAATTTTAAAACCAACAAAATATGTCTTCTCAGTTGAGGTAACACCAACCATCTCAAATTATGGAAGTCTATACTTGTTGGTCTTGTAGGTTGAACCAAGTATGAGCACCGTAAAAAACGTGTTCAAAAACTTTATCGAATTAGGATGGGTCCAAAAAATATATCTAATCGTAACTCGATCATCGCACATTCTGTACCTGGACATGTAACTGTTATCGTCCAACAGTTTCAAGAGTTGTTGCATCTCAATGATGTCCCCCATAATCTCCTTGTTAGTGAGGTACTGAATGTTATACACTTATTTTATATTTGCTAAGTTATTGGGTTGCTTCCGTTTCAATGTTGCAAGTATATTTTTAGGTTGAGAAAGATTCAAGGTCATGTCACTAATGCATTCATTCTCTTCCGGCTTGAACCGACATACACTAGGATGACCGACTAATTTTAAACACAAATCATGGTTATGCAAATCGCATATCACATTAAATATCCAATTTTTCTTTGCCAGCATGTAACCACGAACCTTAAACGGACACTCACATTTACTACTACATGTGTCGTCTCTTTTAAGGTTCCGGAGAAGAGTTCGATATCTCCCGCTTCTTTTGCACTAAATTTTCACAAAGGTGCATCTTCTATCCGAGCCATTATCAGACCTTCCGATTACCATACCAAATCCAAGTCTAGATGCCTCCATGTGAATCTATTCAAACATTTTATCACGATTTTTAAACTCTTGCTTGTTATTAAAGTCGCGGTCAACATCTACCCCCTTCACAACTACCCCTTAAACATCCGGAGAAACATCGTTCGGAGAAACTACTTGTTTTGGGAAAACGTCGGGGTGCACCATATCTATTGAAAATAATTAAAATAATAACAGAACATTAATTAATCTATTGCTGCAAAAGGTTGGAAAATGAACACAAATGCATTCCGGAGATGTATCTTCGGACAAGTTCAAACTCAAACACGTTATGGAGATACATCTCCGGACACATTGTAAATTTTTTCAAAAAAAAATTGATGATTAATGTGAGTAATGTAGAGGAAAAACAACAATCTTTATCTGAAATTCTATCTTCTTTTCCTCCCAGTGATATGTTGAACCAAAAGAATGGAGATTTTGAGTGAAAATGGATGAGAATGAAGGATTTTTAGGGTGAAGGTTTATGTTGAAAATAAAGTATGGCAACAATGAGAGACTGATCATGCAGCTGTATGCTATATCAAATATTTTCGAAGATGCATCTCCAGAAATACCTGATATGCAAAGGTGACAGAAACCGTTCTGAAAATATATCTCAGAAATAAAACTAGACTAAATGTATGAGACGTATCTCTAAATTACCTTTCTTGCATATGGAAATAATACATCTGAAGATATATCTTCAAACCGAAAAACACATTCATATAGTGCATAAGAAATATTTAGAGTGGAAAAAGAAATTCTTTAGATATTTTGTCTTATTTTTTTATCAATATAGTAAAATTTAGCTCTACTATTGCAATGACATTGTAAAAAAAGATATTTTAAATCCAATGTCAATTATATATATATATATATATATATATATATATATATATATATATATATATATATATATATATATATATGAACACAAATTATTTTGAAAATATCAGGGATTAATAAGACTAAGAGGAAAATAAATAAATAAATATATATATATATATATATATATATATATATATATATATATATATATATATATATATATATATATATATATATATATATATATATATAT